TTTGACAGGAACCGAATTTAGCAGATTTTTATTGTGTTTTCGGAAATGAAGGGCAGCTTGTCCCCATTTTAACAATCAACAACGAGATCTTGGTGACTCAAGATAATGAACCATTGTCTATTTGGCTAAATGCCTCTCTTATTTTATCAACTCTGTCTCTCAATTCAATTACATTAATACGGCTAACAGTTTGACATTCCTGTGCACTCTACACTGTAGCTGCTACGTTAAGTCATTATTTTATCAAGTCAATTAGTTTAGTATTATGGAAGAGTAGGTCACCAACAAACTATCATGGTCAAAACACACCAAGAAAGTTCTGAAGAGAGCACGACAACGCCTTTTCTGAAAAGATTTGGCATGGCTCCCCAGATCCTCAAAACGTTCTACAGCTGCACCATCGAGAGCATCCTGACTGGTTGCATCACCGCCTGGTATGGCAACTGCTCTGCATCCGACCATAAGGCGCTACAGAGAGTAATGCGTATGGCCCAGTACATCACTGGGGCCAAGCTTCCTGCCATCCAGGACCTATATACTAGGCACTGTCAGAGGAAGCCCAAAAAATATATAAAATACTTCAGTCACCCAAGTCATAGACTGTTCTCTCTGCTACCGCATGCCAAGCTCTACCGGAGCGCCAAGTCTAGGTCCAAAAGGCTCCTTAACAGATTCTACCCCCAAGCCATAAGACTGCTGAACAATTAATCAAATGGCCACCCGGACTATTTGCATAACCAAAAAAGTGGTAAACAAATCAGAATATATTTTATATTTGAGATTCTTCAAAAAAAAACTTGAATGAGTAGGTGTGTCCAAACTTTTGACTGGTAGTGTATATATACAGTATATATATTTTTTACTTTAGTTTATTTGTAAATATTTTCTTAACTCTAATTTCTTAAAACTGCATTGTTGGTAAGGTCTACACCTGTTGTATTCGGCGCATGTGACAAATACAATTTGATTTGATCCTACCATGACACACAGGTCAGAGTTCAACAGCCAGCCAGGGCTAACTGAAGGGTTAACGTGGAGGTGTGGACGTTGACTGACAGCCGAGAAAAAGCAGCATGTGACATGAAGTAGTCAGGAGAGTTGGGGTAGCTACAGTAAGATCTATCAATGACAGAGGTCATACTCTGTGGTGTGCTTTGTCTTGCCTGTTAAGCATGTGTCTTAGTGTCTTATACAACTATTGATAAATGCATCTCCTCTCCTCTCCTCTTAGATGGTATGGGCTTTGAAAGAAAGACATGACTGAGAAACAGTGTAGTGAGTGTTTTGCGATGTGCTGTAACAAACCTGCCTTTGGTAGGCTGTCTATGATGACTTCTACGATCGTTTCGTCTTGGTGGCTAGAGGGTTTTGAGTTTGACTCTTCTTGCAAACGATATCCCCACATTTGCAGCAATATAGTACCTAGCACGGGCAACAAAGCCATTTTTGTGTCATCAACTCTTACTTTTAAGACATTACTGTCTTTATAACTTTGTCCTAAAATCCAACCCCAAGCGCTAGTGTGAGACTTTGTCCTTGTGGAACGATTTGCGCAACATTTCCAGTCCTTGTCCTTCCACAGCTGGTGCATCCGACTGGACAGAGGAATGTGTTCAGCTAGATAGAGGCCTGCAGGAAAATACCCCTCAGGATTAAAACTCAGTCCAAGTTCATAAATCTACACTAGCCTGTTTTAAATGTAGTGGTGCTAATCACACAATTTCTGAGTCTCAAGTCTGTGTTTGTGTATGCGTGCTATACACTACACTGAAATGGTCCAAAGCACGTCACTGGATCCACATAAAACAGATGCTGGTGAACTTCAACCGATCATGTGAACACTGTAAGACCAGGGTCTGTCTAGTTCTATAGCCACAAACTGGAGAACATATTTTTACATGGAGAACAAGTTCAGATACAACCGCCTCCACATCAAAACATTTTATCACGTTAATATGCCTGCTGAACAAGACCCAGACCATTACTGACCCAGACAGGTCAGAAGATCATATACATAATGATCTATTTGGCAGGAAGTGGGTGTGTTGGTGGAATGGGGAGTTGTTCCTGTGTGTGGGAAGACCACCCAGTCCTACCCCAGCTCTGCTCTGGGAGATTTACTGTAAATCAAGCTTCACTATGGGACTCTTCACTCTCAAGTAGGAAACCTGGCACAGCTGCAAAAACTAGCCCGGGTTATTTACTGGAAGAAAATATGGCTGCTGACGCTATGAAGCTTTGTGTCTTTCATTCCAAACATGTTTACAACTGTGTTTTAACACTTTCATGTGGATGGTTTTATAAGAAGAGGCATTCTAACAATAGCATCGTTGTTAGACTTTATCTGTAGGATCTTAGCACGCACAAAACTCATTCATTACCAAAACTCATTCCCATACTATCCAATGTATTACTCTTCTTTAAATCTTGTCTCATGCCTCCCTTACGCTTATCTTGTCTCTATTTAAACCACTTGTAACCATGTGATTAGACTACCACTGACAAGATGAAGGCACGATGCTCTAAAGAATACAAAAGTCTATGACTCTTAAAGGTTACTCTAAGCATATGAAACCTACATTGAGTTAATAAGTTGGTCAATAAGACAAGCTTATTCTGTAAATCTTGCAATGGGAACTGAGGGGGAGTTCAGAGTTTCAGATAACAAGTTAAACGGCAGACCCAAAGACCCCTTATGGGGTTAAGAACCATCCCACTGGGCAAAAACAGGTTGAATCAACATTGTTTCCACGTCATTTAAACAAGACAATTCAATGTGATGACATTGAATGAACATGGAAAACTGATTGGATTTGAAAAGAAGTCCTCAACGTAAGGGAATTTGGTAATTTTTCTCACCCAACTTATAACCTAAATCCAATGACATGGTGATTTTGGTTGATTTCACGTTAGAAAACAACTCAACCAAATGTAAATCAAAACTAGACGTTGTGCCAGTGGGATTCCACATGTCGTCTATCTATTAGGCCTACGTGCTAAAAGTCTGAGTGTTGTGCCACATGGTTGGACATTCAGCTAGCTCTGAAAGGAGGCGTTGCCAAGGTAACAGTTTTCCCTCTCCTGTGTACTCTCCCTAATTGAGTCTTGTATTATGGAGGGTGAATTCCACAAGCATACAAAGAGGGGATTATTCACCCTGGCCATAGACTCACTTAAGAGGTTGTTGATGGGAAGAGAGAGAAAGGGGTGAGGGAGAAAGAGAGAGGTGGGGGGGGGGGGGGGGGGGGGTTGATTTGAATAAAGAGAAGGGAGGAGAGAGGGGGGGGGGGGGGGGTGATGTGAATAAAGAGATGGGAGGAGGGGGGGTTGAGGTTGGATTTTTGACTGTGTGCCACAGTCCTGTTCTCATGATCCCTGTTGGTTGCTAGGAAGTCTGTTCTGTTGCTCTCCGGTCAGTTGTGGTCTATGCCAGTCATTCTGCCACAGTGGCTTTTCACAACACACATCATTCCTGGCTGTGCTCTTGTCTATTACACATGTTCAGCCTAGTGGTTACGCCACTGTCTGATGTCGAGGGTGTCCCTGGGTTTTAGGTTGGCAATCTCAGATATACTAAATCTTCTCTGAAGGTGAAGTCATACTGACACTAGCCTGAGTCCCAGATCTGTTAGTATGGCATTGCCAACTCCTATGTCATTATCCTGCCAAAACAGCACAAACAGATCCGGGACTCAGGCTAGTGTCAGTATGACTTGACCTTCAGATGTTATTAGTAATTATGAGGTAAAAGAACACCCACAAGTGGGTTCTCAGTGGTTTCAGTTTAGATATAACTAGAGACATGCTGTATGGAAGACTTCATGAAAAAGTTTATTGATACAAAATACCAAAACAATAGAAGAAATGTCTATATTGGAACAAATGGCAATAAATACAACACCAGTGGATGGGGTCTACATACAGACAGGGGGGCATTATGGCACAAGGAATCAATGAGATATAAAATAACATTTAAAAATCCATAAGAATTTTGGTCATGTGACAGAACTAACATTTGCGATCATCTTGTGAAAGTCTCAAAACAGGCAGAGAAACTACAAACAGAGAACATCAAAAACATTCCAGTGATTTCAAGTCAAACTGGGACAGGATGGCCATAAGCATCTTAACTCCAACCATCCATCTTTTTCTCCAGCCAACCTTCTCTAAAATATGATTGCTGTATATTTAGAATGGATATAGAAAATATAAGTCTCTTACCAAAACTTACCACAGAGCAGTAGACTGATTTGAAGGAGATGAAAGAGGACAAACAATATAGTATATTGAACACAAAGAGGAAAGAAGGGAGCAGGTAAACATGATGTGTAGTGAATGCCAGTGATGGAATGTTTCACACAGAACTCCCTAGTTGAGTTTCTGAACTATGAGAACTACAAAACCCATAAAACATAGAAAGAACTTGGCACATTCTATACATTGTTACGATTGGTCGGAAAATATTGACACTTTAACGAGAGTTTAAAAGGAATGCTAGATTGATAAGCCAACATTTCCCTTATAGGGGAAAAAAATGTTTAAAAAAGCTAGCAAGGATAGTAAGTGTCTTGCTCTGTTGATAACAATCACTCTCTCACACTCACTTTACATTACAGTGGCTTTATACCAGAGTAACACATATTTGCATCAGTTTAAACAACTTCATCATAAGTGGTACCACAAAATTGTATCAAACTACATATAGGCCTATGGTTCATATGATCCGTAAAGGTACTTGGACATGCAACTCCACTCCTGATTCCTGTAGAAGGCCACTATAACGTTACATATTCCCAGACACACTGTGTTACACTTATGCCAACTGGAACTACTGCTACACAGGGTGACATTTTGACTACGCAAAAAAGCAATGCCGTTGTCAAAACAAGCGCTACTTTTTTTCGATACCAAAATGGGGCCCACAGAGGGGAAAATGTCACCCTATTACCGATATAGAGCAATACATAGGCAAATAGGGTGCCATTTGAGACACAGTCAGTCTAATAGTTGATACCCTGGTCCTCGTCATAGTGCCCACTGTACTGCTGTTGGTACCTGCCCCTGTACTCTTCCTCGTCGTCATGCTGATACTGGTATTCCGCCTGGTAGTCGCTGTCACTAATCTCCGATCCATTGGTGCCTGTTCCCAGGCTCCCGTTGCCGTGGCTACCGGCATGGTTGCCGAGGGTGACGGGCGAGGTGGGCTCTGTGGGGGAGGCACAGTACTTGGGGTCATAGATCTGCCTGCCCAGGCCGTAGCTGCTCATGCCCTTCTGGGACGCCACCTTGTTGGTGCCCATCTGCAGGGAGATGGTGGAGCTGTCTGCGGTCTGTCCCGCCGACTTCTGGTCGTAGATGTCACGGCGGGTACCAGGGGCTGACATGCCAGCCTGGGGGAGAGAAGGTTAGGTTGGTGGTGGAGTGGTTGGTAGTGTGTGTGTGTGTGTGTGTGTGTATGTGAGCGACAGTGTGTGTGTGTGTGTGTGTGTGTGTGTGACCACAGTAACCTTTAGTTGGTAGAGATCTCACCCTGTTACAAGATCACTGCTAATTGCTTCCAGGGATTACAGTGGCTAGGAATCCATTGCAGCAGAAACCATTGAACCAAAAGAAACACACCATGCACACCAAAGACTACATTCTTACCTGGCTGGCTCCCTTGTTAGTTCCCATCTGCAGGCTGATGGTAGTCTGGTCATAGGGCTTGTCTGTCTGTGACTTTGGGTCATATAAGTGTCTCCTGGTCCCATACGCTGTCATACCAGACTGGCTGGCACATTTATTTGTCCCCATCTATCCAGGACAGAAACACAAACAGCTTTCAGACATGGCTCCATCCATAGGTCACAATGTCCTCTAATCAAATCTCTTCTATATCTGGCCATTTTATTGACCACAAATTCGATGTGTTTCCGAGTATGACTGGGATCCATTGTTATGGTACAGACAGGATAAAAAAAGTGGAAAAATACAAACATGTCTACTGCTATAATATCATTATTTAGTAAAACCACATAGATGAGATCCATTTAAAGCATTATCTCTGTGGTCATTGCTAGTGTGAGCACGACTCACCTGCAGTCCAATGACACATTGGCCAGCCTTCATTTTGTCCTCGTCGAAATGGCGCGTCCTCTTGTCTGCAAACTTCACACCGATGTCACAGTTGGAGTTTGAGCCTTTGGTTTTCGCCTGTTGCATGTTATGAGACAAAGGAACAAAGTCAGTGTCATGAACATGTTTCTATTTCCAACTGTACTGTAAGCCTACATAGTGGTGCATGGGTATCTCAGTCAAATAACATTTTATTTGTCACATGCGCCGAATACAACAGGTGATGACCTTACCGTGAAATGTTTACTTACAAGCCCAACCAATTCGTAACCAATAATGCAGATTTCTTTTTAAAGTAAGAAAATATTTGCAAAAATAAATAAATACAAAATAATAAACTAAAGTAAAAAAAGTAACACAAAATAACAATAACGCGCCTACTGTATATACAGAGGGTACCGGTACCGAGTCAATGTGCAGGGGTACAGGTTAGTCCAGGTAATACAGTGGGGGAAAAAAGTATTTAGTCAGCCACCAATTGTGCAAGTTCTCCCACTTAAAAAGATGAGAGAGGCCTGTAATTTTCATCATAGGTACACGTCAACTATGACAGACAAATTGAGAAGAAAAAAATCCAGAAAATCACATTGTAGGATTTTTTATTAATTTATTTGCAAATTATGGTGGAAAATAAGTATTTGGTCAATAACAAAACGTTTCTCAATACATTGTTATATACCCTTTGTTGGCAATGACACAGGTCAAATGTTTTCTGTAAGTCTTCACAAGGTTTTTCACACACTGTTGCTGGTATTTTGGCCCATTCCTCCATGCAGATATCCTCTAGAGCAGTGATGTTTTGGGGCTGTCGCTGGGCAACACAGACTTTCAACTCCCTCCAAAGGTTTTCTATGGGGTTGAGATCTGGAGACTGGCTAGGCCACTCCAGGACCTTGAAATGCTTCTTACGAAGCCACTCCTTCGTTGCCCGGGCGGTGTGTTTGGGATCATTGTCATGCTGAAAGACCCAGCCACGTTTCATCTTCAATGCCCTTGCTGATGGAAGGAGGTTTTCACTCAAAATCTCACGATACATGGCCCCATTCATTCTTTCCTTTACACGGATCAGTCGTCCTGGTCCCTTTGCAGAAAAACAGCCCCAAAGCATGATGTTTCCACCCCCATGCTTCACAGTAGGTATGGTGTTCTTTGGATGCAACTCAGCATTCTTTGTCCTCCAAACACGACGAGTTGAATTTTTACCAAAAAGTTATATTTTGGTTTCATCTGACCATATGACATTCTCCCAATCCTCTTCTGGATCATCCAAATGCACTCTAGCAAACTTCAGACGGGCCTGGACATGTACTGGCTTAAGCATGGGGACACGTCTCGCACTGCAGGATTTGAGTCCCTGGCGGCGTAGTGTGTTACTGATGGTAGGCTTTGTTACTTTGGTCCCAGCTCTCTGCAGGTCATTCACTAGGTCCCCCCGTGTGGTTCTGGGATTTTTGCTCACCGTTCTTGTGATCATTTTGACCCCACGGGGTGAGATCTTGCGTGGAGCCCCAGATCAAGGGAGATTATCAGTGGTCTTGTATGTCTTCCATTTCCTAATAATTGCTCCCACAGTTGATTTCTTCAAACCAAGCTGCTTACCTATTGCAGATTCAGTCTTCCCAGCCTGGTGCAGGTCTACAATTTTGTTTCTGGTGTCCTTTGACAGCTCTTTGGTCTTGGCCATAGTGGAGTTTGGAGTGTGACTGTTTGAGGTTGTGGACAGGTGTCTTTTATACTGATAAGTTCAAACAGGTGCCATTAATACAGGTAACGAGTGGAGGACAGAGGAGCCTCTTAAAGAAGAAGTTACAGGTCTGTGAGAGCCAGAAATCTTGCTTGTTTGTAGGTGACCAAATACTTATTTTCCACCATAATTTGCAAATAAATTCATTAAAAATCCTACAACGGGATTTTCTGGAATATTTTTTCTCAATTTCTCTGTCATAGTTGACATGTACCTATGATGAAAATTACAGGCCTCTCTCATCTTTTTAAGTGGGAGAACTTGCACAATTGGTGGCTGACTAAATACTTTTTTTCCCCACTGTATGTACATGTAGGTAGGGGTAAAGTGACTATGTATAGATAATAAACAGCGAGTAGCTGTAAAAAAGGGGGTCAATGCAAATAGTCCGGGTAGCCATTTGAGCATTTCAATAAGAAAACACTAGCGTTTGTCCAATACAGGGTTTCAGCGCCAATAAAAACACAATGTTTTCCTATTTTTCACTATTTCGATTAATCATAATCCTCTCCTAAGTCACACTCCTTCTGTATGTTTGGTACTGGGTAATAACGACACCAGGAAAAACTCAGGGTTCTATATTCACCCCAGTAATTGAGAACCTACCATACCAGCCAGAGACAGCAGTGTGCTCTGGACCTGTGTCATGTTCCCGTTCTCAAACAGGTCGTTGGCTTCAAAGATGTCGTTGGGACAAAGGCCAAACTTCAGAATGGCTCGGATGAAATTCCCCAGATTTTCCAGCTAGAATGGAACAAAGGAAATCAGACTCCGGTTCAGTCTAGTTATTTAGTCTTTATTTTTCTGTGAAATACCGTAGCAGCGTTACAGTATACAGTTGAAGTCGGAAGTTTACATAGACCTTAGCCAAATATATTTAAATTCAGTTTTTCACAATTCCTGACATTTAATCCTAGAAAAAAATTCCCTCAGGTCAGTTAGGATCACCACTTTATTTTAAGAATGTGAAATGTCAGAATAATAGTAGAGAGAATGATTTATTTCAGCTTTTATTTATTTCATCACATTCCCAGTGGGTCAGAAGTTTACATACACACAATTAGTATTTGGTAGCATTGCCTTTAAATTGTTTAACTTGGGTCAAACGTTTTGGGTAGCCTTCCACAAGCTTCCCACAATAAGTTGGGTGAATTTTGGCCCATTCCTCCTGACAGAGCTGGTGTAACTGAGTCAGGTTTGTAGGCCTCCTTGCTCGCACACACTTTTTCAGTTCTGCCCACAAATGTTCTATAGGATTGAGGTCAGGGCTTGGTGATGGCCACTCCAATACCTTGACTGTGTGGTCCTTAAGCCATTTTGCCACAACTTTGGAAGTATGCTTGGGGTCATTGTCCATTTGGAAGACCCATTTGCGACCAAGCTTTAACTTCCTGACTGATGTCTTGAGATGTTGCTTCAATATATCCACATACATTTTCCTTCCTCATGATGCCATCTATTTTGTGAAGTGCACCAGTCCCTCCTGCAGCAAAGCACCCCCACAGCATGATGCTGGCACCCCCGTGCTTCACGGTTGGGATGGTGTTCTTCGGCTTGCAAGCAACCACCTTTGTCCTCCAAACATAACGATAGTCATTATGGCCAAACAGTTCTATTTTTGTTTCATCAGACCAGAGGACATTTCCCCAAAAAGTACAATCTTTGTCCCCATGTGCAGTTGCTAACCGTAGTCTGGCTTTTTTATGGCGGTTTTGGAGCAGTGGCTTCTTCCTTGCTGAGCGGCCTTTCAGGCTATGTCGATATAGGACTCGTTTTACTGTGGATATAGATACTTTTGTACCTGTTTCCTCAGCATCTTCACAAGGTCCTTCGCTGTGGTTCTGGGATTGATTTGCACTTTTCGCACCAAAGTACGTTCATCTCTAGGAGACAGAACGTGTCTCCTTCCTGAGCGGTATGACGGATGCGTGGTCCCATGGTGTTTATACTTGCGTACTATTGTTTGTACAGATGAACGTGGTACCTTCAGGCGTTTGGAAATTGCTCCCAAGGATGAACCAGACTTGTGGAGGTCTACACATTTTTTTCGGAGGTCTTGGCTGATTTGTTTTGATTTTCCCATGATGTCAAGCAAAGAGGCACTGAGTTTGAAGGTAGGCCTTGAAATACATCCCCAGATACACCTCTAATTGACTCAAATGATGTCAATTAGCCTATCAGAAGCTTCTAAAGCCATGACATCATTTTCTGGAATTTTCCAAGCTGTTTAAAAGGCACAGTCAACTTTGTGTATGTAAACTTCTGACCCACTGGAATTGTGATACAGTGAATTATAAGTGAAATAATCTGTCTGTAAACAATTGTTGGAAAAATTACTTGTCATGCACAAAGTAGATGTCCTAACCGACTTGCCTATACTATAGTTTGTTAACAAGAAATTTGTGGAGTGGTTGAAAAACAAGTTTTAATGACTCCAACCTGTGTATGTAAACATCCGACTTCAACTGTACATCAAAATCTCAAGTTTTATTTTGTCTCGCGTACCTTGTGCCAGTTGAGTTTGGAGAGGTTGATTTTTTTAATGGAACCAGGCTGCAGTTTGTTAATCAGCCTAAAGCAGGAGAAAATAGTAAATCTCTTACAATTTGATATGAACATAAACAAATTCTCAGTGGTAGTTAAAGGAATGATGAAGCGATTAAGAACACAGCTAATCCTCTGTAGATTTTTTTTCAACACCTGATCACTGTTATGGTAACAATATAACATCCTGTATTAAGTCTACTTGAGTGATCATCTGTCGAGGAATGTGACTAAGTATTCCCCTACATTCTCATAGCTGACTGAGCTAAAGACCGGTGAAGTCTAGGGCTTGTAAACCAGTAACCTGAACAGGGCAAAACATACTTCATATGATGGGGGGATAATATAAAATGATTGGAAGAATGGTATAATATGCAAATACCTAAAACAGCAGCATATGTCAGCATACAAACCCTGTTGTTGAGTGGGTAAATCTAACACACTTTTTTGTATAGACAGAAAACTCACTCGCAAAGGATGACTCCATCCTTGAGGCCCTTCTGGAAGTTCTCTCCAATGGGCATGCCTGTCACCTCCTCGATCCAGAACCGAAGCTCCTCCTCCTTCTGCAGGTCGTACTTCCCTGCGATCTGAGAAGACAAAAGAATGATGTTTACTCCACCCACTCTTCATTCAACAGTTGTCCAAAATCAAACCCTGACCCCCTAGACACTTGTTAGGATCTAACTTGTTTGGATAGGTAGGCTATAAAACATAAATACCACTTAGCTTATAAAAGGGCAAGGTTGAGCTATTATCATAAAACATCCAATCCTTTAAGCAAACCCAATCCTAACACCAACCAAACAAGCCACACACTTAAGGTAGCTTGTCATTTGAAACAATTATAACGAATGTAAGCCTAAACCCAGACTACTTTGCTTTGCAAACTCAATAACCTCTTCGTATATTTATGTATGTGTTGGCCACAGGCAGTGAGAGAAGGAAAGTTATAATAGCCTCAAGGCAGAGGCAGTTTGCTGTTATGAGTGTGTAATGCCTCAACATATTGCTTAGTAAGCAGTGAGCAGCACACCCACTCAATAGTTATAACTCATGATCATTGGGCCCAGCCGGCCCACTCCTTGGGAAAGTTAGATACAGTCTGTTTAAAGGGAAGGCTTGCACAACAATTCAGAGGGCTTTTAGCCCAATCTACTGTAAATACAGAACATCTGAGAAAGTATTACGCAATCAAAGATTGTAGCGCTTCAGTCCTCACAACAGGCCAAAGCTTTTCAACTGAAGCCATCACATATTGTTCTAAAAGGTGCTGACAATGCCGCAAGGTCAGCTTTTTGGGAAAACACTCCTCTCTCCTCACCCACATCACGGCTGTGTGTTTACCTAGGCCCACTGCTAATAGATGTAAGACACAGGAAATTACATGGACCGCTGCCCCGCGCCTGAACCCTGGTTTTAGGGGGACGGCTCCACAGGTTCCTAAGACCAGACTGACACTGTTTCATTACCCAACGGCTTGAAGGAGAGATAGACAGAGAAAGAGACACACACACAGAAAGTAAAAATATCACAGCGACAACTTTACGTGGCATAGCAGAGGGAGAGATTAGAGGGATATTTCTGTCAGTCATCTTAATGAGCTTTCATTGGCTGCTTGGTTGAAGCCCAGGGCTTCCAACTGTGATATACATTTCTTGCTGCTTTCGCTAATAACTCAAGAGAAAGCACTCAAGGGCTGCATGTACATGTATCAACCATCTCAGAGTAGGAGTGCTGATCTAGGATCAGGACCCCATGTCATTTTATTCATTATGATTTAAAAGGCTAAACTGATCCTAGATCAGAACTCCTACTCTGAGACGCTTGATACATACAATACGACCCCAGGTCCCCCCTGGCCATAATATTATTTAACATGATCTAAATGGTAAAACTGATCCTAGATCAGCACTCCTCCTAGGAGACGGCTCCAGGGCTTATTAAATGACTAAGGGGCGATTACATGTCAACACGGCCAATAAAATAAAAAAATCTCAGATTGTTCTGGCAATTCTCACAAAAACTTCATTGGGAGGAAGGATGTTTAACAAGCTTTATACATTTGTATCACAAACCATTTTTGAGGAAATCATGATGAAAGTGGCCATTTAAGGCCCTTTTAAACCTATACATGTGCACCTATAGTGTGCTCTTAAATATGAAGTATATCTATATTCTGAAGTACAAAATGTTCACATTAACATTATTATTCATATCTCAAAAGTACCTTTTTGATTTGGCTTATTTGCAGACATATTGTTTGGAACGATATACTCTCCAAACATAACATTTCCAGAGTGGGCTCTCCACTACTTTTGAAGAAATGATCAGAGAGAGATTATATATATATATATATATACACCCACACACACACACACACACACACACACACACACAGTGGGGAGAACACGTATTTGTTACACTGCCGATTTTGCAGGTTTTCCTACTTACAAAGCATGTAGAGGTCTGTAATTTTTATCATAGGTACACTTCAACTGTGAGAGACGGAATATATAACAAAAATCCAGAAAATCATATTGTATGATTTTTAAGTAATTCATTTGCATTTTATTGCATGACATAAGTATTTGATACATCAGAAAAGCAGAACTTAATATTTGGTACAGAAACCTTTGTTTGCAATTACAGAGATCATACGTTTCCTGTAGGTCTTGACCAGGTTTGCACACACTGCAGCAGGGATTTTGTCCCACTCCTCCATACAGACCTTCTCCAGATCCTTCAGGTTGCGGGGCTGTCGCTGGGCAATACAGACTTTCAGCTCCCTCCAAATATTTTCTATTGGGTTCAGGTCTAGAGACTGGCTAGGCCACTCCAGGACCTTGAGATGCTTCTTACGGAGCCACTCCTTAGTTGCCCTGGCTGTGTGTTTCGGGTCGTTGTCATGCTGGAAGACCCAGCCACGACCCATCTTCAATGATCTTACTGAGGGAAGGAGGTTGTTGGCCAAGATCTCGCGATACATGGCCCCATCCATCCTCCCCTCAATACGGTGCAGTCGTCCTGTCCCCTTTGCAGAAAAGCATCCCCAAAGAATGATGTTTCCACCTCCATGCTTCACGATTGGGATGGTGTTCTTGGGGTTGTACTCATCCTTCTTCTTCCTCCAAACACGGCGAGTGGAGTTTAGACCAAAAAGCTCTATTTTTGTCTCATCAGACCACATGACCTTCTCCCATTCCTCCTCTGGATCATCCAGATGGTCATTGGCAAACTTCAGACGGGCCTGGACATGCACTGGCTTGAGCAGGGGGACCTTGCGTGCGCTGCAGGATTTTAATCCATGACGGCGTAGTGTGTTACTAATGGCTTTCTTTGAGACTGTGGTCCCAGCTCTCTTCAGGTCATTGACCAGGTCCTGCCGTGTAGTTCTGGGCTGATCCCTCACCTTCCTAATGATCATTGATGCCCCATGAGGTGAGATCTTGCATGGAGCCCCAGACCGAGTGTGATTGACCGTCATCTTGAACTTCCATCTTCTAATAATTGCGCCAACAGTTGTTGTCTTCTCACCAAGCTGCTTGCCTATTGTCCTGTAGCCCATCCCAGCCTTGTGCAGGTCTACAATTTTATCCCTGATGTCCTTACACAGATCTATGGTCTTGGCCATTGTCTGAAAATGTACTCTCGCGTCCATTAGACATTTTGTCTGCAGGAACTCGCTCTTTTTCACTCGGTCCACTCGTCCAAGTGCCGATGCATTTGTGGCATGATGTGAACAGTACGGATTTGTGTCACTACCAAAGTCTAATGGTTTTAAATGACTGTTTTGTATTGTCTGGAAACTCACTTGTAGAATTCGCTTGCAGTAGGTCTCTTAAAAAAGAGAAGCCGTGCAAGGTTATTAAACAGAGGTGCCTAGTTATTCTTCTGTTGCTGATATCAGGTAATGTGCAACCTAACCCTGGCCCTGATATGCAATGTCTCCAAACCCCCTCTGATTTTAAATCAAGATCTGGTTTTGGTATTTTTCATTTAAATGTACGCAGCCTGTTGTCAAAAATTGATGGGGTTAGGATTTGGGCTAAATCAACTGATGCTGATGTAATTGTGTTTTCGGAAACCTGGCTCAGCAAGTCTATTTTTGATAAGGATATTTGTATAAGTGGTTACAATGTTTATCGTGCAGATCGGGTTAAGAAAGGTGGGGGTGTGGCTATATATGTAAAATCTAAATTCCATGTAAGTGTGGGAAAGTCTGAAACTATTTGTAAACAGTTGGAATTTCTTGCTTTGAATATTGAGGTTTCAAAGGGCCTCTCTATAACTGTGATTGGCTGTTATAGACCCCCCTCTGCTCTCGGTGATGCATTTTCTTCTTTGACGCACCTTATGTCTAAACTTCTTTACAGTGAAATGATCTTGATTGGTGATCTCAACTGGTGTTGGTTAAAGCCGGTGTCTGATGATTTAAAAATGTTTTGTAATTCTATGAATCTTACCCAGTTGATTAATTCACCCACTCGCCCAAATCTTAAATGCCCTGATAAATCTACCCTGATTGATTTGATATTGACAAATGTTCCACATAAATATTCTGCGGTTGGTGTTTTTTGTAATGATTTAAGTGACCATTGTGCTGTTGTTGCTGTTAGAAATACTAAGGTTCCAAAGACAAATCCACGTTTTATTCGTAAGAGAAATTTGAAGTGTTTTAATGAGCAGGCTTTCTTTCATGATTTGTTTTATTTTGACTGGAGCAAGATTGAGCTTATCCCTGATGTGGAAACTGCCTGGATATTCTTTCATGATGGTTTTTCCCAAATAGTAAACAAACATGCACCATTCCGCAGGTTCAGGGTTAAAGGGCGGGATAATCCATGGTTTTCTTCTGAGCTGTCTTGTATTATTCACGACCGTAATCTAGCCTGGGCTAAAGCAAGGAAATCTTGTTCTGATGCTGATTGGCTTATTTTTAGGCAGTTAAGAAACAAGTGTTCTTTTCTTCTCAGGAAGGCCAAGTCTGAATATTTTATGTCTGTTACCACTGATAACCTGAATGACCCTAGAAAGTTTTGGAATGCTATTAAGTCTATGTCTGGTAACAGTAATGTTAATGAATTACCGTCATGTGTTTTGAAGGACTCTGTTGCTATATATGACAAAACTGAAATGCTGAATTGTTTCAATGAGCACTTTGTATCATCTGGTAGGCTGTTTGATTCAGTGTCCTCTGTCTCTGTACAACCCTGTGTGGATGAACCAGTGTCCTCTGTCTCTGTACAACCCTGTGTGGATGAACCAGTGAGAGCTGGTCAAACTCTTAGTTTTCTGCCATTCTCAGTGCAGGTGGTACATAAAGCCCTGAAATCTTTAGATCAAAGAAAGCCTGCAGGTCCTGATCTTTTGGATCCCTGCTTTTTAAATCTGGCAGCTGATTTCATAGCTGAACCACTTACATATCTGTTCAATCTAACCCTGGAATGTAATGAAATTCCAAAGATCTGGAAATCAGCATTTGTCCTACCACTTTTAAAAGGGGGAGATCCAACTCTTTTAA